GAGCCGAGTTCGAATTCCAGTCAAATCCATTACATTCACTTACGTGCTAAATCCCATTAGGAAAGGTATGAATCCTCTTCTTCTCCCTCCACCCAGCTGTAGATAAATAGCAGAAACGACTGTATTTGCCTTCGACGGAAACTGGTCTACCGCCAAAAAATGTTAACCTACTGCGGGAAAAATCTGCCTCGTCATTCATGTATCGAAAGATGCATGATCGCCTAACAAATGTATCAAGCATGGCACATTACTTATATATATATATATATATATATATATATATATATATATATATATATATATGTACTACAAAAAGTTTGAAAAAGGCCTTCAGAATTATCAAACTTATAATTTGAGAAATTTTGCGACGAATGCCAAGAATTTGTCCTGCAGTAGCCAAGACTAAAGGAGGATATTTGATGTGAGCAAAATTTAATCACTTTCTTTTTGTCATAATATTTTTTCTAATAAAATATCATGTATCACTTTTTTTTAACCATGAATAATAATTTTCTCTTTAAATTACAAAACAACTACTCTTGGGAGCAATTTATAAAATTACTTGTTGCGTCTTCAAATGTTTAAACATATATATATATATATGTAGATTTAATAAGGTGGTTAATAAAATTTGAGAATCCAACAATATTAGTAACAAGATTAATGATATTAATTATACATTAGTATTTTGAACAATTTGTAGCAAGAAGAGAAAGGTTTTAAAGTCGGAATTTTCAGAAACGTCTGTGTCCTTTTTCAACGAGATGAGGAATAAATAAAGAAATGGGTATTACTTTGGTTAGAGGGCTTCATGGGAAAACTATATTCTCTAAGTTAAACTAAATCCCTTTTTCATCCCTCAATATCTGATTTTATTTGGAAAATATATTTCAACTCCGATCCGCGTCTTTGTTGTCGGTTGTAAAATAATGACACTAAAAGAACGCATCTGATGTCATCAATGCTATGGAACGGTTGGTTGAAGATAGCAGCGACAGAGAAATTGTTGTCGTTTTCTTTGATGTTTTTTTTTTTCTACGGTTATTGAACCGAAGATTATAACTAGAAAATAATTTTATTTACTACGTATCAAACAAAACTTTTTGAAAATGATCTTATTGTCTTTACTGAAGGTATTCAGATATGTTTAACTGCATTTGCAGAAATCTGCAAAAAAAAAAAAAAAAATCTTGAAATGTTGAAAAATAAAGCAAAATGAAATCGACGGAGAGCTTTTGCTACTTTTTAATCAGATAAAATAAACAACAATACATTTTATCTGCAGTTAAATCCCATTCAAAATATATTTAATTGAATCGATTATGTTGTGTTCTAATTAATTAGATTTTGGCTTGTAATAACTCATAGAGATTGATATGGTGCTACAAATATCAACCGCTCAAACAAGCAACGTGAAATAACTATTTCATGAAATTAAGTCATATAATATCTTACAGTTTGTTAAAGAAATCAAAATATAACAAAACTACAACATAAATCACACATATCACTGCCTCTTGTAATGATGTCCATAGAAACATGGATATGCAAAAAAGCTGAGTATCAACTACCATGTATTCAACAGTGAAAGCAGAATAACATACAGTTGTGGACAGAATTATTAACTCCCGCCACTTCCGTAATTTGCAAACAAAGCTGTAATACCTCAAATTCTCATGGAAACTTCATGTGAATCTTAGACAAATGATGAAAAAATGCAGTTGAATAAATGTATAGTGATGCCCACCATCATGTTTTATTCATTTTCATGTTAAACAATAATACAATTAAAGACAAAAAGACATTTAACAAATCAAAATTATTGACCCACTTGCTTCAATAATCAATTTCGTAACCTTTATTCTTGAGTATTGCTTTTAATCTTTATATATAGTTCCTTACAAGATCACTACCCATACGGTATTTTGTTACATTCTTTCTTGGCAATAGCTTATACTTCATCCAAATTCAAAGGACTTCTTTCTCTTACTTTCTTCTTCAAATGTGTCCATAACTTTTCAATGTGCTTTAGGTCAAGAAATTTTGCAGGGTACGCCAATGCCTTATTTTTGCTGTTATTTAAGTATTTTTCAAAGTTTGAGCCATGTGTTTCGGGTCATTTTCATGTTGAATCTCCCAGTGATGCCCCAAAGATAGATTTCATTCACTTTGTTTTATATTATTTTTAAGAATAGCCAACTCTTCTTTTTTCCTTTTTGTATGCCATGTCCTTTCATGACGTGGGCGATTATCTCTCTCTACCTCACTGTATCCCTTGCAGCTGTCAACAAGGTCCTTCCCTCTGCTTTTTCCCCAGACCACGTTCTACCATCCACTTGTTTAAGTCTGCCACGTATGTCACGCGTTGTTTTCCCTTGTCTTTGTTTCCCTCTATTTGACCCGTGAGTATCAAATTCTCCAGGCTCTCCTTCCTCATTATGTGTCCCAGAAACTTCAGCTGCATCCTCTTTATATTATGCATAAGCCTCCTTCTTGTTTGCATCCTTTCTAAGATCTCATCGTTGCTCACACTACTGCTCTTTATCCATGATACACAGTACTCTCACTAATTCTGCTGGTTCAGAACATTCTTGGAAGGGTATTTTTTGGCTTGGTAGCTTCATTCACTTTCCTAACGTGACATAACGTGAGTTCATGTGACCAAATATTTCTAGTTTAGTTTCATCTGACCATAAAACAGAACTCTAATATTTACTCTAATGTTCTAGATGGCTTCTAGCATAAGCTAATCTGCATTTTAGGGGTTTCGCCTTAAGCAAGGGAATTTTCCTTGGGCAACAAGCTCAAAGTCTTGTTTGATGAAAATGAATAGATTCAACCTTTTTACATCATTGACAGTGTCTTTTGTCATTAAGTTAGAATTCTTCGAGACAACTGTAACAATTTTCCTTTCCATGCTCTCAGGAATTAACAGTTTTCTCTTAGTCCTTATTTTTTTTCTCAACCCATTCAGTATCACTGCACTCCTCATTAATGCTATGAGTTGTCGATCTTGGAAAGTATTGTATATCAATCACCTTTATTTATTTGGATCTTCTTGTCAAGTTCAGCCATGTTGCAGAACGAATGATTTATCTCATATTGTCTTATTTATTACCTCTTAGAATGTTACAGAATCAGGTCAGTAGTATTTTATTTTGAAAGGGTGTTTATATTAAATGTCAAATTAAGAAAAATATTACCATTGCCACATAAAGCAAATTTATTCCATAATTTCAGAAATTTGGTCCGCACCAATTTTTAGAAAAAAAATTATATCTATGAATATAATAGATTAAAACTTCTAAAAATTTCACGAATCATTCAGAACTAAATATTGAATCAGCTATATATGGTAAATTTAATAAGAACTTGCAAACATTTGCATTACTTTAGAAAATATGCAAAAAAAAAAAAAATCTATGAGAGCGAATAATTCTGTCCAAAACTCTATATCATATTTTTATTACTTCAAAGCTCCGAGAGAAATTAAATGTCGGCATTAAATGACCCACAAATATGTTGATATGCCGTCAAACAAACAAATCAAAGCAAATTATCTGGGTAACAAACGTATAACTGAGCAACTTTTTAACAGGTTCAGCAATTCTTCGAGATGGACCCAGTCATAAACCGAAGAAACGCTATAGGGACTGCATGAAAGGTCTGTTAATAATGGCACGTAGTTCTAAGGGTCTAAGGATAAAATTATGTCGAGTGGGGGGAATTAGTAACGTGGTAATTGCATTTAAAGTAGAAGGCGTAGACCACATACAGCGGAAAGAAGCAGCAAGAAAAGGCCGTAATATTTCCAGTGAATGTCAAGTATCTTTAACCCTTGTACTCTTTATAATGGCATTCCTCTGAAAAAAAAGCTGGCTTCATTTCTCAAATGCAAGCACATGAGATCCAGCCAGACAGTCAAAAGCTTCTTCTTCTTCTTCTTCTTCTTCTTCTTCTTCTTCTTCTTCATTTGCCATGTCTCTTCAGCGCGTAGACGATCATGGCTTTCCACAGCTTCCTGCCCCTTGTAGCGCTTAATGAATGAATATTGTATTTCTGTTATTTCTCCTAAACCTTATCCCGCTATCCATTTACTCGAGCTCATTCTACTTCGTCTATGTGCCGGGTTACTTCATCACATAGGCGATGATGGCTCTCCACAATTTCTTGTTCTTCCTAGCTCTTCATAAATTCTGTCTTTTTGTTATTTCTCCTAAATCTTACCCTACCACCCATTTACTTAAGCGCATTCTTCTTCGTCTATGTGCCGGGTTCCTTCAGGACATATGCGATCATGGCTCTCCACAATTTCCTGTCCTTCGTAGCTCTTAATAAAATCTGTCTTTTTGTTATTTCTCCTAAACCTTATCCCGCCATCCATTTACTCATGCGCATTCTTCTTCTCGGGTGTACTGGGACCCTTCAGGACATAGTCGATCATGGCTCTCCACAATATCCTGTCCTTCGTAACTCTTAATAAATTGTGTCTTTTTGTTATGTCTCCTAGACCTTATCTCGTCATCCATCTACTCAAGGTCACTAAGTATATCATACATTATTTTACTCTGTCTCGTGAGTATCACTTTTTCCAAGCCATCCTTCCTCATTATATAACCCCATTAATTTAAACTGTTTCTTCCTGATGTTAAGTATAAGTTTGTTTTCATTTTTATCTAACTCTTCATGCTTGCACACATATTCGGTCCATGTTATCCTCAGCATCTTTCTGTAGAAACACTGTTTCATTGGCTTCAAGTCTATTCTTCATCAGTGAGGAGATTGCCAAGAATTCATTTCCACATAGGATAATGGACATGACGAAAGAGTTCAATATTCTTTTTTTTGTTGTTTCTAACGAATTTATGATGTTTCTTAACACATCGTGTAAAAGGATACATAAAAATTCAACCAGATTCCGGCATCCAGTCAGCAATTGTTACCCGAACAATAATTCGCTAATTGCAATATGATCTCTGTCATGATTGAAAAATTAGGCTTACGGCTATAATACGTTGAAGCACTGGTTCTCGTACGCATCACCGAAGTTAAGCAACATCAGGCCAAGTCAGTACCTCGTTGGGTGACCGCTTGAGAATAATTCGCTAATTGCAAAAGGATCTCTGTCATGATTTAAAAATTAGGCTTACGGCTGTAATACGTTGAAACACCGGTTCTCGTACACATCACCGAAGTTAAGCAACATCAGGCCAAGTCAGTACCTTGATAGGTGGCTGGTTAGGAATACCAGCTTGTATGTATAAGGATAATGGGTCAGAATTGTTAATAGGAAAGCTGATTCCCGTTTCTTTTGTTATACGTAAATACGCTTTCGAAAGTATTCAAGCCATATCTTTTCCTGCGTTATGGGTTAAATAGTAAGATTTGCATCAGTAAACCATGATTATGTTCCTCAACAAAACATTCTTACAATATAAAATATTTTCTGGTTTAAATAACTTGCAAACAGTTGATAGGCAATAAAAATCTGTCAGCTTGATAAATAAAAAATCCATTAGTTGTGTTGTAAATATATATATATATATATATATATATATATATATATATATATATATATATATAGTACAGATAATAAATCCGTTGGTATATAATGCAAGTGGATACTAGAAATATCAAATATTAAAACTGATGCGCAGAAAGAGCTCACAATGCAACACTGACCCATATAGCCGAGGACTATTTCGTCCAGCATGAAACAGCCTGTCGCCTCTAAGTGTTGACTTCTATGTTCACTTTTATATTTTTATTTACATACGCTCTATCTCTGATATTGAGCCCTTTATGCCATAAATATAGCACAGCTTAAAACTATATTTCTTTATATGAATGTATTGGATTAAAAACTATGGATCAATATTGTAATTTTCTTTCTTCGTTATCAGACGTTATGAAGAGAATTTACATAAAATAAATAGACAAAACTTGTCTATATTATTTAATGAAACTTGTATATACATATATATATATATATATATATATATGTATAATCGACTCTCCCGTCGAGATTCGACGTATGAGGGTCAAGCAGATCAGTTTCCGACAACGGCACATGAGATTTGATTATAGTGGTGAAGGCCTCGTGCAGGACCATTTTGAAGGGACGAATACAGAGACCTGGTGCACCGAATGACACAAGGTTCTCAAACGACCCTGCGCAGGTTTTGAATTCCGAGTTGTCCTTCTCCTTGCCATCCAAGGATATAGAACCCAGTCTGTCCTGCTGCTTTACCCATTAGCTGGAGGGAGAGGAAGAGGATTCATACCTTTCCCAAGGGTATTAGTACGTAAGTGAATGTAATGGATTCGACTGGAATTCGAACTCGGCTCTGCGATTCCTCAATCCAAGCCGCTATCCATTACTCCACCGTGCCTTATATCTTCGTATCTAGCTAACTGCAATTCATATATATTGAAGTATTCAACAATCTACTTATACATTTACTATTAATAAATTCTTGTCTACGTATCTATCTCTACACACACACAGACACACAGAGACATACATACATACACACACACACACACACACACACACACACACACATATATATATATATATATATATATATATATATATATATATATATATATATATATATATATATATATATATATATATATATATATATATAAACAAAATCCAAATTACTGTATGGGGATAGATCTAGTTCAACAAACACGAAGTACATCAGTTTTATTCATTCCCGGTTAATAAACCTTATTCGTGTCGGAATTAGAGATTGTAAATTTAACTTTGACAGCTTTTGACAGTCGAAAAATTGATATAGAACTTATCCATTTCCAGGTTTCAGTCAGACGAAATGCCTTCGTCAGTGGCACGCGGAATGTTGAACGAATTTGCCTTAGATGGAAGAGGATTTTATTTTTAAATTAACCCGGATATTAAACCTGGTGGCATTAAATTCGGGTTATATGAACAATGAGGTGTTATGTTGAAAAAAAAAGACGGAAAAGAGAGTTTTATATAAAAAAGATTGATTATATATAAGAAGTTTGGTTCCTACTTAAAACCTAAGAAATTACACCTAAAAATGAGATATATTAAAAAGATTAGTTATAAATCATATTTAGATAATTTATATTAAATTTAAGTAAAAATATAATTAAAAAAAAATATATGGAAGAATAAAAAAATTAAGATGAATTAAGTTAACAATTTTATCTTTAAAGATAAGTTTAACCAAGTGATATTAAAGCTTGATTTAACTTATAAATACATGCATGCGTGCGTGCGTGCGTGTGTGTGTGTGTGTGTGTGTTGAATTTGTTAATGCGTTATTTATCGTAAATTATTTCGGCAGCGGTGGTGAGCTAATTTTATCTGCCTTCGTCATAACGATTTAAAACTCTAAAAAATATCATAACCATTCGTTTTCGTTATGACTACACATTTAGAAGATTTAGCAATGAGGAATTCAGTTTCCGATATTGCCATATCATTACTGATGCTATACATCA